TAAATGGATAGCTTTTGATACGAATTGTACATCATTGATAAAAATGAGAAACAAAATAGGTCCAAGAATCGAACCTTGTGGTATCCCATAAGATTGCGGTAGAAGATTAGAGCTAACCCCCTCAATGCAAACATATTGCTTGCAGTTTTTAAGGTAGCTTTCAAACCATTTCAACGTATCCTGAGTGAGTCCGTAATACGAGAGTTTATCCAAAAGAATGTCGAGACTAACAGTATCAAAAGCTTTTGATAAATCRAGGAAAACACCCAAAGAAATATTGCCATTATCAATTGAGTCTATTATTCGATTGACAAAATCAAGAACTGCCAATGTTGTATTCCTCTTTTTTCTGAAACCAAACTGATAGCTATACAAGTGATTTTCTTCCAAATGATTAGTTAAACTTTCACACACAATTTTTTCAAACATTTATCCTCGATATCATCGAATTGCTGCTTCATGTCATCTAATTTCTTCTTCACGGACTCGAAGCAGTTTGATTCTTGAAGTCTTCGATATCTTTCTGTGATAATTCAAGACTCCTCTTAATTTCACCAACCTCTCGACTCAGATTATCCAAATGACTATTAAATCCATTCATGAGTGTCTTAAGCAAAGCATTGTAACTGTTTTCTTGAGTTTTAAGAAGTTCATTTACGATTTCTAAAGTAACAAAACTAGAGCTCTTCTGTTCAGCGTCCGCCATCATGCAATATCATGACTAGTCCACAGTAATGATGAATATACACAAGAAATGAATAATCACATGAATATACACAAGAAATGAGCAAAAAATCAGAGACAGAGACAGTTTTTGTACTCTCTATAGAAAAAATAGATTATCATCACTTTGGAATATTTTGGAATGTCAAATCTTGAAAGTACTCTAACAACGAATGTTCCACCTTCAAATGCAAAACCATCTGGAAAAAAAACGTCGGCTCTATGATAGTGCAAATCATATCATAAGGTCATTTGTTTTTGAACAAGATAGTACAAATACACCATCTCATCAAAGAGATCAACCAGGTAAATTTTGAGTAAAAAAAAAAAAAAAAAAAAAGGAATAAAAAATGATTTTTCATCCAAAGAACCATGACTTCTGCTATGCGGACACAAATTATATAAATAGATGGATGCTTAAATTTTAAACATTACTTTCCAGCTATGCAAACAGGTGATAGTTGTGATGTTGAAGAATATGACCTAGATCATGATGATGAGAGTGATTATACTGATGATGAGAATCATTCTACTGATAGTAGTGATGATTATCAAGAAGAACTTGGTACAAAAGCAGAAGGGAAACAAAATGAAGCCATAGACTTAGAGAGCAAGAATCAACAAGCTGTCTGGTGGGTGCGCGTGCGGGGGTGGGGCTCAGGGTGGCGGAGGGCTTGTCTCTCCTTTATTTAGTACATATTCATATACTTATACTTCATTTATAGAGCATTTTTTGCTAATTACGCTGCTTAGGGTCTTTCTTTATAATGCATTTTTGTCATGTTTTGTTGTTTTTCTTGGGAGTTTTCACATAGGGATAACCTCATAACTTCCTTTCAAGTCGCCTATTATTGTGCTTTGTTGTCTTATTTGTATCGCTTTTTGCTAGCCTCTGCTCTTACTTGTATTTTACTATTTGTCAATAATTTATTTGCGATTTGAATAAACTATGTATGTATGTAAGCTGTTAGTCTATTGCCATGGCTGACAAAACAAACTGATAAACCAACAGCAAAGCAAGAACACATCAAAAAAAAAAAACAAAAAAAAAAAAAAAAAAAAAAAAAAAAAAAAAAACGATTAAAAATAACGTTTCGGCATTTAGTGTAACATTATAGTTTTTTCAATTTCTGTTTCCTGCAGTGTTTTAATAAATATTTTAATTAAAANNNAAAAAAAAAAAAAAAAAAAAAAAAAAAAAAAAAAAAAAAAAAAAAAAGATGATGATAAAAAAGATCCAGTAGATTATATATTCAACTATGCTTGCAGTATTCTGTCATTGGGGTTGATAGTGAAAGAACATGAAGATATAATTCGTGAAGGAGATGCCATAAGGGAGGAAATGTGTTGGAAATTAATGTTCCTTTGGTTCAAGGTCAAGATCAACAACAAAATGAATAAAGTTAAGTATGCCCATAAGGCATTCAAATACCTATGCCTCATTAAGGCATGCCTTAATAAAGAGTGTCATGTTACACCACAGTCCAGTCATCATTCCACTGTGCTATCAGATGACAGATTGAGCTGGAGACAGCACAAGTATTTACAGAAACACCTGGTAGATGTCACAATGCTTTCCCTGAACACTCAAGGTCACCCCTAAGTCATTTGAATATGGCACAGGTTTTAAAGTGGATGAAAACTTTAATTAAAAAGTTTTCAAGATTGCAATAGCTTGGTCCAGCCTGATAATGAAGACATCAATTGAATTAAAAGAACAACAGGAGACACAGAATCCTAAATACCCAATTTACTATAATGACTGCCATTATGTAAGATGTTTTAAAAAGTCGTTCGAGCACTGCTTTGTAAAAGAGCTGCCTCATTTTTTTTATGGTGTACACATGTATAAATCCCCTTGTTAAAATAATATTTATTATGCGAGAGGCAGCTGAACATGAGTATTTATATCCCTGATTCATAATTGCTTCGAGCACATACCTCGGGGACTGCAGAGGGGAAGGACCTGGTAGGGCTATAGACCTACTACTTTATTTGCTGGTGTTGATTTTTTTAGGGATCCAGATGGTGAAACAGTGACTCCTGATGCTTGTTTGTTTTGGCCAGATCTTTTAGCGTTACCTCTGCGGTCCCTGCACATTGACCTCTATGCCCTGATATAGATACTGTTTTATAAGACATTGGTGTTCTATGTGGTACACTTGATTATAGGTAAGAGTTATCTTAACATTACAGACTGCTTGGCGATAACTGTCACTGGAAGAGGTATCAGTTTATATATCACATCACTGATCTTTACTAGGTAACTATCTTGCCATTATAGAAACAGCACCCTGTATCCTTTATAACTTATTTCAAATGAGGTGCAACATGCAGGATAAAAGGGTAACAAACGTTAACCCTTGTCTGAATTATTTTCTAACTTTTCAGCCACGTTCTAGGTTTAAATAAAGATGGCCTTCTTTAAACTAACTAATTGGGAGTTAAAGGGTTAAACTTCTTTTGCTTGTGACAAAATCGACAGTATATTTTCAGCTTGATTTTCACTCCACACCAGCTTTGTCAGCACATCATTAATTGAAAAAATTTCATCACACATACCAACAATATCGTTTATCAATGCAAGTGTGAATCCTGTGGAGTAGTCAACACCTAGAACAGAACCATCTATTAAACTGCTTCTGTAATTCTCAAGCTTCTGCTTTAAGAATTGTTTTTGAACTGGAGACAAAGGAACATAGTCCTTTTCTAAAGAGGTAGCAGATGTTACAGTAGATTGTTGATTATTAAACTCAGCCCTGGATTTAACACTTTTGCAATCATCACATATGTGCATACCAGTGAACAAATGTCACAACACATGTGTGGCCTAATAGTAGGACGAAGGGATAGGTCAGTTTTGGCATTTTGACTTCCATCAAAATGTTCCAACAAAAAATATCTCCTACAATGGCTGTTGTTTTCACAATACCTTTTCATGTCCTCAAGGTCTTTAATGTGCATTTCACTGTTCTTTCCCTTATTTTTCTTGAACTTTGATAATCGGTTTCCAAACTCCTTAGATGAGTAAAATAGGAATGCCTTAGAGGGTAGCCCGTCTCTTCCTGCACGGCCACTTTCTTGCATATAATCCATTAAGGATGGAGGTGCTCGAAAATGGTATACTTCCCTAATGTCAGGACAGTCTACACCCATTCCAAAAACAACAGTTGCCACAACAATGCGTAAACTTCCAACTATTGAAGTAAACCGTTCTATTATATTTTTCTTTGTCATCTCGTCAGTCACTTTCACATACATTTCAATGATTCTCTTTTGATCTCCTTTATCTGTATCAACCCACAGTTTTTCTCCAAGCTTCCTTTCAAAAAATTCAAAAATATCACAACAACAAGACTTTGTATAGCAAAAAATCAAATACTTTTGACTATGCAATCCATTTTTCTGTACATCACTAATAATATGCTTAAAGCAATCCGCAAAAACGTGATCCTGTCTATGAAAATCATAATCCTGATATTTTGGAAGCTTTTCCACATAATAATTGATATTTGTCCTGTTTGTTGAGCCTCTAACACCACTACATCCTTTCATCTCCAGTGTCGCTATTATTGTTGATGTTGTTCCCTGTGTTGCTGTTGCAGTTAGAGCAATAACTGGCACTTCAGGCATTAATAAACTCCGTACTTTCCCCAGACTTCCATATGCTGTTCGAAATTCACACTCCCTATAATATATAACAACTCTTTTTTTGAGTCTTTTGGGGCATTCACTTTGTAATCTAGAACCTCCCTATCATTTTGATATCTTTTGAAGGGTATTAATTAATTACTAATGATAATAAATTATACAATAAAAAACAATAGGAAGAATACTATTTATGACAATTATGCCAGTTAAGTGCCAATTATGACTTGCAAGCTTTTAGTATTTGTACTCTCAGTATACATTCAACATATCAAAACTTTGCAAAACATTTTTGTAACTACAGCTGGCATCATATAGGGTTATATATCATGTTTATTTAGTATTTTTTAATCCCACCCAACCTCCTGTACTCAAAAACACATTCACCATTTCCATACACCAGTTAAGTGGTCAAACAGAAAGCACTCAAGTGAGGCACCAAGGTAGTTTCAAAGGATTATTCAACATTGAACCTTGTAATTTCGACTGAATGCTTTTTTTCCTGACCAGTGAACTGATGAATGGAAAGTGGTGAATATATCCCGAATGTTTGTAATGTCAAACTTACACCAAAATGAAGTGGCATACAACTATTTTAAATCAAATCAAATGTGAGTAAAATCAGTAAAGCATATACAATTAATACAATAAAAATTAAGATATTTAATTTCTCAACAGAAAATTATAATTTACAATAGTTAAGCTTACCATTGCTCTATGCAATGTGCCTCATCTACTGCAACGCACACCACGTTTTTTAAAATTCTGATGATGGCCTTCTTAACAGAATTATCTTCTAAAGCCTCTGGTGACATAATGATCACTTTGTAATTACAACTATTTACGCCGTCCATGACATTTGTATCCGTAAGTGAGGCTGGTGTCAGTTTCGTGCACGATAGACCATGATTTTCAATTGGTCATCCATAAGAGAAATCAGTGGCGAAATTAACAATAACACTGATCCATTACTGTTAGCTGTGTGACCAAAACGAATATAATCGCAGAAATAGGGAATTATCATATAGAAAAGGCTCTTTCCGTAACCCGTTTGGAGGTTAACAAACACGTCTTTTCCAGCAGAAAACTCTGTAATAACTTTAATCTGTTCTTCTTTTGATACATATTTTTTTGGAAAGTTAGAAAGACTAAAAGACAAGGCTTCCAAAACACTATCATTCACCCTTCGATCGCTATTACAAACAGCCATATTTGAACCGGCAATTTAATATACCAGCGGTTACTGGTACTCATGTTGATAAATTCTTGAGCATGCGCMGGCAAACCCTGCTGGACCCTCCCCTTCCGCGACATAGGAAGCCCAAAAACAAAAGCGGAGCGGCAAAGGAGAGGGTACAGCGTCTGGACTAGCAATGATCTGGCATTTCATGACAGGAGGTCTACCATTTAGACAGTACTGTATATGAGTACAATAACTAGCCCCTCCACGATTTTTTCTCAACACAAAAATCACCATCCTCTCATCTACACAGACCCCTGTATGGTAAATTGTTGAAGAGACCATACCATCAGAGCCACTATCCATGCCTTTTTTATGTTGACTGTCAATGTGGACCTTTGACAAATAATAAATTATGCTAAAACAAAATTCTTGACCATTTGCAAGGGGTAATGCACGGGTAAATATTTAATCACAATTATTTGTGGTGCAAAAATACCTTGAGAGAATGAGGATGATTCACGAGAGCAATGAGGGCACGATACTCGTTCAGATGAGCTCTGCTTTGTAAAAGAAGCTGGTGAAGGTCCAATATTATGCATGGTCATAACAGCTGAATTGCTGTTTTCAGGTGAAGGGTCTGTTTCAAGTGATGACGAATGCGGTGAATGTGAGCCTGTTGGTGATTGGGGTGGTTGGTGTTGACCATTTAAGCCTGTGTGAGTTTGCAGTGGCTGTTTGATGTGGGCTTGTTGGTTGTTGAGATAACCGTGTTTGTTGTGTATGTTTTGGCTGTGTTGTATTCACTGTCTGCATTTGTAAGCTTGTTGGAGTTTGTTGTGAGTGTGCATGTGTTGGATCAGTAGTTTGCACTGCATGCAAATGATAGTGTTTTAGAGCACGGGATCTATTGAACAGGTTGTTGCAGCCAAAGCAGTGATAGTGCGGTTTGTCCCATAACACTGATTCCTGTTTGTGGCAACTGCCCAGCAGCTGTTATTGCATTTAAGAATATTATATCCTGATAAATAGATTGCACGTCACATAATTTGAAAAATCACGTGCCAGCGCTCTGAAAATCAGRGGGGCGTAGTAAACAAAAGCTAAGCAAATGAAGAGTGCGAATAAGTCTTTGAATTTCCGATAAATGTAGCATAGGATCAATAATGAGTATGCATTCAATGTAGCAGCCGATGAAGTCATGAAGTTTTCTTTGATTAGGGTTTCCTCCAACACCAGCTCGACAACTTGCCGTTGCGCAAATTTTTTCGACAATTTTCGAAATCACCTAAGTAATTAACTAATTTAGATAAATGTATCTATTTCACAGTTTGACTAAATGCACTCTAAACACAATTTTTATATTAACAAAATTAACATAATAATTGTCGTGCAATACACTGGAAGAATGATGGAATTCTCTTTATAGTAAAATGAAACTTTAAACTGGGAATGCACAAAGAAAAAGATTTGATAATGGTACACCTTTAGGCAGTAATGAGTTTAAAATAAGCTTATAACATTGATTTAAGTTTTTTTCAGATGAATTCGCTGCTTCACTAAAAATAATTTTCAAAGAGTGTGTTTCAAAATAGGGAAGGTGCAATGCATTCAAAATGTAAGATTAAAACTTTAAAAAGTACCTCCAAAACTGATTCTGCATTCCCAGTGAACATGACTTTGGTGTTCCTTCAGCCGAGATCGTAAACGGAAAGAAAGCAGGCATAATGGACAATGGTAGAGGCCTTAAATCCTGCCAGTGCTGCTAAAGCTGGAGCGACTTGTGCCGGAATGGTGGGCATTGGGCCAGGAAGAGGAGTGATGTTAGCCATGTTAGCTGGTGGCGGTTGGATGAGTGAATCTTCTACTCGGCTCTCCTTAAGCAGCTTACGACGGAATGATTCAAGGATCTGGGTGTGGTGCTTATATATGCAGAGGTCGCAAAGCATTACACCTGCACCGCGCAAACTCCAATGTCCATATATGGGGGGCTAATAAATTCCTATGTGACACGCCAATTATGTATGCAGTGAGAATAGCCACGCATATGCGCATTTGTAGCAAAATAGATGTTGGCATGCAGACTGTATGGGCTGATTAAGAATGAATTAACGTAGAATGGCTGGCATTTCTTCAATTATGGAGAGTGATATAGCATGGGGAGGTATCCCAACAGAATGAGTGGACAGACCATTTTGGAACGCTTTTGAGTGACCTCCAGGGCGCCCCCTTCTTTTTGCTAATTTGCGTTTTCTTCCTCCGGAAAGTTTTTTCTCGAACAATTTACATATTTCACAGTTATCATCGCTATGTTCTTCCCATCTAATTGGTACAGTAGCAGTCTTTTAAAACCCATGTTTTTGTGCTTTCAAACACTTTGGATAGCAATTATTGCATATTCTACTTGGGTGAACATCCTTTTTATCATCTGATACGTCTACACCAAAAACCAAAGAAATTATTATAATTTTTAAACTTGAGCAGTTGTAGAATTGTTCTTTGCGCTTTTCACCATTAAAATGGCCACATACTCGGCAAGATTTATTGATAAACTCCAGGTGAAAATCCAAACAAGACATCYGTAGACGTAACAATTTCATCGTAACCATTTGTAGTCGTATAGTAACAGCAAAAACATAAATGAAAGACGGCTATTTTGTAAGCTAAAAAATAGTTAGCTGCTAAATAACACTGATGGCGATAAGTACGACAACAAAAGCAGTTTTTCTTCACATTTCGGTAATTCAGATATGTGTTAAGCTAATTGTCATGTTTTTTTTTCTTGAGAAAACGAACTGAAGGAAAAATAATTAGCAAAGTTTCACGTAAATATATTTTTTGAATTCGCCGGCATTTTGGTTACTAGGGAAGCAAGTTAACATGTTACCGCGCAGGGGGTTGGAACCTAATGTCCACCACGAACCAGCYGTGTAAAGCCGGCATTGCAGTAAACACCATTTCTTATAATGTATCACGCCATTATCAATGAAGTGCAACCCTCGAAGTTTAATGTCTCTTTCGTCGACCAGCATTTCAACGGCCGTCAATCAAAGAACTAGAATCGAAAATGTACGATAAATTCTTATCTTAAGGGAGATGTTATACTAAATTAAAGTGCATATCAGGGTTCGCTGGTTTCAATTCTAAAATAAAGTTTGTGTTGTATAAAGAGGATTTTAGGTATTAAAATTTCAAAAATTATTTTTCGTGTGTAATTTTTTGAGGGTCAAAGTTGGCAAAAAAACATGATTTGGGCTCCCTTTAGAAACATTTCGGAGCTGTTGAAAGGGATTGGTACCGAGTTGTTGTGACTTCATTTACGGGACTYSTTGATCRACAGTTCAAGGGTTTTTCCTAGTAGAAATGTTCGTAGTGTTACAGAAGCTTATTGAAAATATTGAAAATCAGAGATAAATTTAAGTTTTATTATTAAGATGCCCGACCGTTGTGTTGTCGGGGGTTGTGGTAATGAAAACAGCCGTAAGAACGGCATCTTGTTGCACAGAATTCCGTTTTTTGGTGATGATCGTCCAGAATCCGTGAGACGCCACAAGAAGTGGGTTGACTTCGCTCTTCTCAAAAGAAAGAAATGGAGTGCGACTTCTATATCTGCGATTTGTTCCGACCATTAATTTGCCTCTTCTTTCACGGATATATGAAAATCATTCTAAGAAAGAGAAAATAGGAAAAATAAAACGATTTGTGCTATAACTGGCTTTTTTGACCCAGGCTTTAAGTACCTTGAGATTGCGAGAACGTTACAAGAAAAAGAACAGTCGAGCGGGATCGATTARCAACGTTCTGGTAATTTTCCAGTTTCGAGTTCTGTTTTGCTCTAAGTTAGACTCATTAGCATGTAATATATTCTTTAGAACATGTAACAGCCTGTGGTAATGACATGTGACGACCTGATGTGGAATGTSTACAAATGAACAATACAACGTTCACTGCACTAGATTACGATTCCACAGGTTTTGYTCTCAGTTCTGAATATTTTAACGCACAATCAGGGACAACACAGAGCAAAAGAGAACTCGAATTTGGAATATTAGGTGTAGACCTTTTGCAATAAAGTAACTATTATTTGGCAACACTGGCTAGTACATTCATATCGTAAGAAATAGCACCATACCTAATTTCGCTTTCTCTTAGGTGTTCGTCTACTTGAGTTTTAAGTTTTAGAAGTTCTTCTTGGCTATTTCTCCTGGAACGTAATGCCATGATGATTATGGCCCTTTCAAGGTCTCGGATTTTCTATGCATACTTGTCGCAGGTCTGGCAGGTGTCGACTCGGACTTTCCGGAATGAATACTGGCGACTAATTTTTTCAATAAAATTTTTTCTGAATGCCGAGTAACTGAGAGGTGCGAGTTTGTTCTTCATTTTGAGACCATTGCTTTTAAGGTCASGATGCTGTTCTGTGACATCTTTCCAAATGGCACTTTAGCTGTACTTACTGTCAAAATATAGTTTGCAGTTCTTTTGCGCCGGTAATGACTTGGTGTAATCTTTGATGAAATTAGTTACTAACTCGATGATAGCTGGAAGTAATCTTCTTGCATTGTTCTGGTGTTTCCCTTCAAAAGGACCCATATCTTTTTATCCGATATTGCAAACAACTTTTTAAAGGCAGTC